GTTCGAGGCTGGACTAGTGAGGCATGTAAACACAGAACGGGGGTTGCTATTTGGTCGCGGGGCGATTTTTTTCCTGTTAATTTTATCGCTGGCCGAAATGACATTTTTGAATCAGGCCAACCCCGCTTTCCCCTACGAAAAACATCTGATTGTCAGTTGAGATGTGATGATATGAAAAGGTTTGACGCCATGGCTCTTTCAAAAAGGTTTGCTTTTCGTTTTTCCCAACTTGGCTTTTACAACGTGTTTTTTTTCCACCAGTACGGCATTGCTCCTTTTGGCCTCTTTGCTAACGTCCGCTTTTCTTCTGCTTCTTTTTGTTGATTTGGGCTTTGTGGCATCGAGCGTTTGATGTGCGTTAGCGCCACCTACTGTGCTGGAGTGTGGCTTGGGGATGTGCAGGACACATTCCAGGAAATACTGGTGAAGGGTGTGGGGGCAGGGGGGTCCTGGAAAAAAAAAAACGGCGGGCAAGAAGGGAGATTGAATCAACATTTTAAAATATAGAAATTCGGAGTGAGTTGGTTTTTGTTAAAAAAAAAAAAAAAAAAATGCACGAAATGAGTGACTGCACTTAATGTTGTTTTGCACTTCTCAAATAACGGAACCGATCCAGACATTTTACAAATAGGCTACGTGAAGTGTACATATCTATAAAAAAAATATTTACTTGCATTATTTATTACAGTTTCAAAAAGGTGCCGATACTTTTGTCCAGTCCATTTTTGGAATTGTTTGTGGAATGATCAGATTTGCTCCGCCCGCTTCTTTTTTTTTTTTTAAGTATTGTACCAATGCAAACCAACGAATAAACGTGTATTTGGTTGACATAGCTGTCACGTTTGTCAAAACCTATACATGTCGTTTGGTGAAAAACAAACCATTGTTTCAAAGTGGGTGTTCGGAAGGGGAAAACAGTTTCGCAATTTATTGACACAGGAAGTGGGGAATCTTTAGCTGGTGCACACATCCGTTTGCAAGCTCGCGACAGAAGGTACGAACCAGTTCAAGTTAGCAAGTGCGGGTCAAGGTCTTTGGGTATTTTGTTTTGGACGAATTCTGGGCTTTTGGACTCACTCTTTCGGATATGTGCAGCTTGGGAGGTATTTATTTGTATTTGTGTAAATTCATTACGCCTGGAAGTTATTTCTCCATCGTTTTATTGCGTTTGTAACAAACAGTTCGAGGCTGGACTATTGAGGCATGTAAACACAGAACGGGGGTTGCTATTTGGTCGCGGGGCGATTTTTTTCCTGTTAATTTTATCGCTGGCCGAAATGACATTTTTTATCAGGCCAACCCCGCTTTCCCCTACGAAAAATATCTGATCGTCAGTTGAGATGGGATGATATGAAAAGGTTTGGTTTATCGCAGTACGGTCACGGCATGATATTTATTGCGATTTCCTGTATGTATTTCTTACGTAGCTTTTTGTCAAAAAGACATCTTCAAATATATATATGTGTATGTATATATATAATTTTTTTTCACTTTAAAAAACTGAGAAATATTTCTCATATATGTGGGCGAACTGCAACGATGCATCAACTGGAGTTTTAAGTTGTAATGTCACCATTCACCATCAGAGGGCAGACATGGCTTAGTGGTGCTTCGACCAGGTCTTCAACTGCCACTTCTCTATGCCAGTAATTGCAGTACCGTAACAGAAATGACTTCCTCGTGTGCTGCAGACGTCCATCAGCTGATGGGTAGTCAGGTAGAAGCTCCACCTCATCCACAGAGGGGAAGTTCCAGTTCGGTGCAAAATGGTCCAGGCCCAAACCACGTGAAAGAGGAAGAGGATGATCCACAGCCCCGCTACACTCAAGAGGAAGAGGAGCAAGTCAACAAGTTGTCACTGAAGGTCGTCGTCGTGAAGAGTGAAGACGATGGCGACGAAGCGCCCGACTGTTCGCGACTTCATCGTTGCAGTCCGAGCGGGGAGTACCGCGGAGGAGCGCCACCGCATCAGCTCTTAGCGCCGCCGTCACACGCCGACAACACAGACAACGCGAAAGGCGATGACAAACAGTCGGAAAGTTCCGGAAAGCAGACTCCAGCATGCGGGAGACGCCTCAAACGACAAGAACTTTTCAGCTGCTCCGTTTGCGGTAAAACAGCTACTCAAAAGTCCAACATGGTCAAACACATGAGAGTACACACGGGAGAGAAACCCTTCAGTTGCTCGCTTTGTGCAAAAGCCTTCGTTGAAAAGGCAAAGATGATAAAGCACATGAGGAGTCACACGGGAGAAAAACCCTTCGGCTGCTCAGTGTGTGGTAAAAAATTCACAGATAAACAAAATATGGAGTCGCACATTAGAACTCACACAGGGGAAAAACCCTTTAGTTGCTCGTTGTGCGGTAAACGATTCAATAAAAAGTCGTACGTGACAATACACATGCGAACGCACACGGGAGAGAAACCCTTCAGCTGCTCCGTTTGTGGCCAGGAGTTTGCGCAAAAGTCGGATATGGTGAGACACATGACAAAACACACAGGAGAGAAACCCTTTAGTTGCTCCGTGTGTGGCAGAACGTTATCTCGAAGGGCCAGTGTGGAGTCGCACATGAGAACGCACACGGGAGAGAAACCCTTCGGCTGCTCCGTTTGCGGCAGAAACTATACCAATCGAAACAGTTTTGCTACGCACATGCGGACCCACAACAAAGGAGACTAAATGCCCCCCACCCCCACTGCCTTCAGCTCGTCTGCCATTTGTTCTGAGACACAATTCAGCCCCTGGTGAAGCAGCTGTCTTGCTTGGGACATTTTCCCCCACCAGTCATGCCGTTTTTGACGTACTAGTACACAATACATTTTACTAGCAAATATTGTCTTTCCAACAGGTAAGCACCTCTCTCTCTCTCTCTCTCTCTCTCTCTCTCTCTCTCTCTCTCTCTCTCTCTCACACACACAAGAATTTGTTCTGAGACACAATTCAGCCCCTGGTGAAGCAGCTGTCTTGCTTGGGACATTTTCCCCCACCAGTCATGCCGTTTTTGACGTACTAGTACACAATACATTTTACTAGCAAATATTGTCTTTCCAACAGGTAAGCACCTCTCTCTCTCTCTCTCAAGTAGCTTCTCTGTCAATGGAATAAATGCACAAAGGATTGTCCATAGAAAGAGTGACATTGTCTTTTCATAGTTTTATTTGTTTTGTGTTGGGGTTTTTTCGTGCTTGGGCAGATTATGTCACAGATAAAAATGTGCATGGGGAAAGGTCATTTGGCAAACGATTTTTGATGCTTTCCCACGAGCATTGCTTTGTTCTTTCTAAGATGATTGACAGCACCTGGAATTTACTGTCGTCTTTCCATTTTGTCTGAAACACGACCGTCTTTTTTGCATTGAACGCAAAACAGCTGAGACATTTTATGAGGTACACCTGCACAGTCTCAGTGGGTTCTACGGTGTCGTGAATGGGGTTACACCATTCATTGTTGGGCATATTTGGTAAAACAGGACGATAAAAGGGGGGGAAAAGGCCTAAAATCAAGGAGAACAAAAAACTTTTTTTTTTTTAAAATAAAAAAAGCCACAGATGTTAATTTATTGTTGAATGTACTAAGGACGTTTTTAGCTGCAAAGTTATTTTTCAGTGTGCGCATATATATATATATATAT